TTCTTTTACAGAGAGGTTAGTTTTTTAAAATTTATGTAGTCCTCCCACTACCTGGTTAAACATAAACAGCTTTCTAGCAGAATTATGATTCCATTTTTATATCTGTATCTGACATATATATGTTGTGATTAAAATATGATTAATGTTTAAATCTGAAAAATATTTATTATAGTAAAAGACACATTGCCTCAAATCCCTCTCAAGTCCACTCCCTCTCCACTTTGAGCACACGCATCCATCATCCTTGCTATTTTCTGCAACAGCTCTGGAGTCCTCTTTCCTGAAGGTCTTTAATTGTGCAACCCTGGGTGTCTCCACGTCCTCAATAGATTCAAAACATTTCCCTTTCAGGACCATTTTCACTTTGAGGAAGAACCAGAAGTCGCATGGTGCCAGATCTGGTGACTAAGGTAACCAAGGACTCAGGCTCATGTTTACACAAGCCTGTCTTTCCATTGGCCGGCACTTGGCAGCAGTGTTCAGCACACCTTGTAAAGACACTAAGGACAGAGGACTGCTAGAGCTGCTTCAGAAAGGATGATTGGGTGAGTGTGCTCAAAGCAAGGCAAAGGAGCCTGAGAAGGATTCCTGGCAATGTGTTTTTTATTGTAACCAAGTTTTTAAAATAATCACTGGACATTGTGATTAATGCTTGAAGTAGCTGACTCGAAAATGGTATTACAGAAGTGCACAGAACACACTTTTGTATGTGAATGACATTTGGAATAATTTACCTAACAATGCTTTTTGTTAAAAAGAAAAAAAAAAACACATTTATTTCATTTAGTTGTAGTTCAAATTTTCTCCCTGGACTTGCAGCTAGAAGAATTTATTTATCAGGAGCTCTCAAGAATACAGGAAACCTTGCTCACCAAGTGCAAACTTGTGAGTCTGGCATTCTGTGGGGACTAGGGAGCCATGGTAAGGGGAACTGAGGGTGGGAACTCCTGGAGATGCCAGATGCACCATGGCCCTCTGGAAGAAGCAATGCATGTGCTCACGTGAGGAAATCAGGTGACACAGAAACAGTAAGAACTGAAAAGCATGTCTTTCCTTCACCTATGCCCTTGAGTACAAACACTTCTTATGTAAATGTTGGGATGGCACAATTCAGAAAGTCCAGGTCCTGTTTTTCACACTTAAGAACCTTTTTGAGAGGTCACTTCATGAATGAGAAGCGTATACTAACAAGCTTCCTCCCTGTAAAATCTTGCCTTCACTTCTGTGGAGACACCATCTCTGTGCCAAGAGCTCCTTCTCCTGATAAGTCATGGAAATAAGACCCCCCAAAGATCTCTGCACTCAGCCTTGGGCCTGCCTGAGAACCAGGCACTCTCTGTGGTGCCACTTTACCAGGGCAGTGTCCCTCTGCATGGGGATGAGCACCTCCATTCACTCCCTGCCTCAAACATGATGGAATTCTAACCCTACTCTGTGTTTCAAGGTCTCACCTCAGGGGCTTATGCACTCTGCCTCATCTAACCCTGGGAGTATGATCTTTTAAAGATGAAGTTCTTAGAGCCATTAGCTGGAGGGCATCCTGAGGCTCAGATTCCAAGGGTCAGGAAGCTTCTCCCAAGCCACACGCATGGTCTGGCAGAACTAGGATCTGCTCCCTGTTCTTGCTGCTTCTACATCATACCCACATTTTGTCTTGATGTTAAACTAGTGCGGGGCCAGTGGACTGTCCCCCGCTGAGCTGCCAGGCTGATGCTCTCCATGCGGCTCTTCCTTTCCTGCTGCTTCTTTCCAAAACCATCTGATAGTGGGGAGTTCTGCTCGTCCTGGCTGACTGTATCAGTGGACAAAGTCAATTGATGCACCCGTGTTTGACTACAAATCTGCATCCTCAGTAAGATAACACATTTGTGGCATCGTAAAATTGCTTATAAAAGTAATCCATGGCATCACTAAAGTCTTTTCCAAAGTTAACCCAGTGATCAAGCTTCTGATGTGTAGTCTACTGTGATTTGAAATTACTTTCTTTTGTGTCAGTATTTTCTTCTCAATGTTCCTATGTTTTTATTTTGTGCCTACAGAGTATTTAAGAAAACAGAGTCTAGTGAGGGCATCTGACTTGAGTTATACCTGTAAATTAGTCAGGTTTCCTATTACTGGGACACAATACCTAATATCTATGAGGTAAAAAGGAAAGTTTAAGATGGCTCAGGGTTTCAGGGGGTTTAGTCTATGGTCAGCTGGCTCCAAGGCACAAACATCAGGGAAGAAGGGTACGGGGAACAAAACCACTCAATTCTTAGTAGCCAGAAAGCAGAGCAGACGAACAACACCGGAGAGGAATGGGAAAGACCAGTATAGACTCTAAGGTCACACCTCCATCACCCACAAGTGTGTATCACCAATTACCCTGGCAAATCCAAAGCTAGTCAAGCCAACACAATTAAAGTTAACCATCATAATCTGCCAGTATTAAAGTCTGAAAGAGTAGGGAGCATAATTTTCCTTTTAAAAACACTTGTGCCTATTTAGGAACTCTGAATTTAGATCTTTATTATGGGTTGGCAAATGTAGGCCTATGAATCAAATCTACTTATTGCCCCTCTTGTAAATAAAGTTTTATTGAAATGCATTGTGCATATTTTTGGCTCATTTCACACAGTGATGGCTGCCATGTCTTTGGTACAGAGACCCTGTGGACAGAATCGGATTGTGTTAATGTACTTTTCATCTCTATGACAAACACCTTAGTTAATAAGCTTACAAAGAAGAAAGGTTTATTTCAGTTCAGCTATCTGGATGCTCTAGTCCATGACTGATTGGACCTGTGGTGAGATAGCACAATATGGTAGAACATGGCCAAGAACACTTAGATGTGAACAGAAATAGGAGAGTACTGGGTCTCTGTCCTGTCAATGACACTGCCAGTGGCCTGGAGATGTCCCACTAGATCCAATCTCCTGAAGGTTCCACCAGCTTCCATAGCACCACGGTCTGGGACCCATACCTCCAACACATGACTTAGAGGGCATTGAAAATAAAACTGTAGCACTGATTCTTTACAACCTGCCCAGTCTGATCTGCAGCATATAATGATTCATAAATTGCCATTGTATAGACGATCATGTACAGATCATGTACTTTATTCCCAGAAGTTAATGCTGGGAATTAAGTTAATGTAACACTGTCCTCTTGTTACGATTACTATACACTCCCAGTGCATAGAGAATGCTAATCTATTAGTTTCAATTTAGTGTTTTGATTATGATAATTTCATCAACCACAGACTGACATATTTATGACACACATCAGAAAAAAAAAACACAGATCATCCCCCAAGGGTGCTAATCTTTGAAGAATGAGAGAGGGGCTGAGCCATCCTGGCAGACACAGAATGTGAAAGGAAGAGGCCCCTGTCTTCTGTTGACTCTATGTCAGTGTAGCTCTAACAGTATCTCATCAAGGTGCCAGAGAGAACCCAGTGACATTATCCATGTGAAATGCAAGGGCCGCCTTCACTTCCTGCAGGGATTATTTCCTGATTGGGCCCCTAGGACCACAGAGACTATGAGATTGCTTACCTTACACCAAGCTAGGCATGGTCACATGAGGGCACAGAAATGGTTAAGTATCTGGAAGTCACAAGTTCAAGGTAGGAAGACTCAGGTATCACAAAATCATATCAGATGCCCCTACTAGAAAGTAGGTTCGATGCCAACTTGGTCCAAAACTAGCTTATATTTCTTCGTTGTTGCTTTGTTTAATCTGTGACAATGCTTCACATTTTATATTGAGAATCCTAATTTAAATACGAAAATACGACCGGTTTACTTGGCCTTCCAAGTGCCAATTCAGCCAAGTTGCATTTAAAAGCTAGACTCACATAAAATAATTCATTAAACATTTTCATTACTGAAACTCAACGAGGTCTCACAGGACAAGACCTCCCACGTGCACAGAACATTGAAAATTCAGGAGTGACTTGATTGGAAAGCTAAGCAGGGGTTAATACTCAATGTGAGTAGGTTCTTTGTTTTCTTTTTCTTTTTTTTTTTTTTAACTGCAGGGAAATGTACAATTAAACATAATGCTTCCTCCAACCTAACCAATGAGTGCAGTGGGCTTCTTCAGGGGAAATGAGTAGGGTGTAGACGAGAAAATAATGAGAACAACTGTGACCTATTACGGCAGTTCATAAAGCTCTTAAGATGGCAGCACCCCCAGAGCTTCAGCAGATGGGAGACGATCCCGGGCCTTGATTTCCGGGGAGGAGGATGCTGCTCTATTATCAGACAGGCAAATGGGGCAGTCGGCAGACAGACAAATTACGATTGCGCAGTGAACCTTAAGACGCCGGGCAGTTTCCTTATAGAGATCCTGAGAAATTACCATGCCTTAGGAATTCTGTTTTCTTTCCCTCTGGCAAAGGATCATGTGTAAAATGTCTCCTGAATGCGGGTGCTGGGCGGGTAACACCAGACCTCTGACTCACTTTCACACATGCATTCAGAAGCCGAACTTGGCAAGCTTTGGGCCCCGACACAATCACGTCGTCCTCCAGTCCTAAAAACATGTGCTGCCAGGCAGCGATCGCCTGGTATGTGCCAGCCTTCGCCACCCCCATTCCTCCCAACCAGAATTTGTGATCATGCATAACCAGCTGCTTCTTGGACGAGCGTGAATTCCGTCTGCAACGACCCTAAAAACGACAGCACTTCCCTGGAGGGTTACTGTTCCCATCTTCTCGCCATTGGCCACCCCAGGGCTCCTCACAGTGCACCCACAGGGATGTGCCTGCCACCCCTGTCCTATATACCTTTAGTAGTGAGAACAATATACGCGCCATCTAATTTAACTGCAAATGGCTCTTTTTAGTGTGCACTGTCTGGGTGGAGAGGATGCACGGCGGCCTTTTACTGCCTCCCAGAATCCACACAACACCAGGCACTGAAGAGCAGTTCTTCAGAGCAGCAAATGCAAAAGCAGCATGGAACTGACTCTGGTCCCAGATCCTCGGGGCTGGGTGCGGGGCTAGTGTGTACCTGAGCTCTTCGGACGTGCCCACAGGGTGCTCTCGGAAACCGGGCTGCACCTTCCTCCACGGGGTCTGATGCTGGCCTCTGGTGGGTTCTCACCAGTTCTGCTTGAGGTGCATCTTCTGGAGGGCAGAACAACAAGGACATGGTCACCCACTGAAGAGGAGTCTGTATGCCTTTCCTCCTTTGCCTTCCTATTTTTCCAACAAAGGCTTGCGTTTCAAGATAGGTAACCACACATTAAAAGCGATGTGCAAATCACTTTGCTCAGGGATCCTTGATTTGAAAGCTTCTAATGGATAAGAAGAAACTGCCTTTAAACATTTAGTTAATTTACTTTGAAATCTAAGCTCTTTAACAGTTTTAAATACATGTCTGGGTTTGAAGGTAAAACTAAGTGCACTTAATATTTAGATTGACCAATTACCAGCCAATTTGTACAATTATTGCTTTCTTCCATAGTTTGATGCAATTAGGAAACAATGTAATAAGTGAGAAATATTTGAAATGTTTAACTATTTCTTGGAAAAAAATGTAATTTCATTCATAACAAAATATAGCCCGTTGAGGCAAAGGGCACTTCTAAACATCAGCTGGGCTTTATCTTAGCAGAACAACAACAAGAGAAAGTATCTTTGTGAATGGAAATTTAGAATTTATTTTTCACTTTTCTATCAAAATTGTCTACCATACTATCTCCACCCATTCGAAGCTAGTGACTCTTCTCATTTGAAAAGAAAATACATGGATGATGGCAAAGAATATTGTCAAAGAGAGAATTCATTGTTTTAAAAACGAACTAGAAAATTGGAACGTGAGAGAGCTGGGTGTCTCGGTGGTGGAAGCTTTTGTTTCTGATGCAAACCTCCACGTTCAGAAGCTCATTAAATCCAGTCTGTGGCAATAACAGCCGAGGTGTTAATGGGCAGCAGTGAAGTGTGTCTGGGAATGAAGAGACCCTTAGGGGCTCTCCACGCTGCCTACCATCAGCCACATGCAGCAGCATCACCATAAATCCTCTAAAAGATCTTGTCCTCGACTTCTCTTCTTACAGTCCCCCGCCATAGAGACGATATTCATCGTGCTTAGCAAGTGGGGTTTGAGACAGGCTAATGCATAATTTGCCAGAAATACTTGGGCAGCCCTTGCAGTATGAGCAGAACTGACTTTACTACTCCCCCTAATAAGAATGTCCTGAAACAGACACATAAAGAAGTGAATAATCTGGAAATGTGTCCAGGGAACTACAAGGATTTTTAAATCATGCTGCAAAATCAAGGTTGAAAATATGAATGGGAGATTTGTTCTGTGTCTAACTCTAGGATCATGAGCTTGGAGTCACTCTGTAATGTCTTTAAATGGATTAAAGCTTTAATAAAAATTATAGTTGGGGTTTTCTTTACAGCACTGTACAGCTATTTAAACTAGAAGGCTTGTTCGGTAGCCTTCTATTGTCTACTGATTCTCAATCCTCTCACACACGTACTTGAACATTCGCACGCACATATGCATGCATACACACATGCACACAATTTAAATGTAGAGTTGCAGTGTTTCTCAGTTCTAAGTGTTTTTTGATTTACAGTTGATTTGTATACTTGTCACATGCCAAAGACACGTGCCTCCTAACGCTTCCATTAGTCTTTCTCCCTGCGTATCATCCGGAGACAGGAGCCTCCGGCCAGGACAACAATCCCTTCTCCATTCTGTCTTTCACACTGAGCATGCATGCTCAGAGCTCAGAGTCCGAGGTCTAGCGGGACAGAGACAGGGGCCAGCATGCATGTGCACCTTCTCCTCTCACCGCCACTCCTTTCTGGTACAAAACCCAGTGGAGATGAACTTGTGTGTAGCTGGTATTCCCTACAATCTGTCCTCCTTTACTTTAAATTTCTGAAACTGGTCCCTGCTTTGTGAATCAGACTGTATGAAAGCAATTCACATATACACTTGATATTGCTGATTGTGACATAATATCATGGTTCTTTTAATCAGATGCTATTAACTCTATGGATTGTCCCCCATGCCCATGCTCCAGCACAGAAACAAGGTGCTCAGTAGACAGGGACAGGTGGGTAGCACCTCCTGTTGTGTGCATCTGGCCCTGCTATTCTGGCTTCTTCAGCTTTCTTAATGCTAAAAAGATCCTTTGTTTAGCTAAATTTTGCCAAAAGAATGCATATCTGTGCTTGTTGAGTGACCTTAATCATGTCTGAGGGATTAACTACCAGGGGAAATGTTTTTTGTGTTTTTCCCCAGAGTGCTGGGTGCGACTGGTTAGGAAGGGAGGGCTGTGTTTTGACAGGGCCTCTTCCTGAGGCTTCTTAGCAGTCAGAGCCAGACAACTGCCTGCCAGTCTGCTTGTCACAGGCACAGGGAAGAAAGGTGACACCCCAGTCACTGCAGACAAGACGCAGATCCAAGGGGCCTCTGGGAAGCGAGTCCTGAGGACTCCTGAGCTCAGCACCGTCTGGGCAGAGCACTGGCTCTTTAAGAGGTCTTGGGTGCATCTAAGTGATCAAATCTGGGGTCCTAGTGGTCAAGAAGGGGGCAACACTTCCAGGGCATCTCTGTTCCTCTGCGCTGCTGACTCCTCTCCCTCATCAGTGGATGCTTAGAGGACCACTCAGCATGGGGCTGAAAGGGATACACAGTGTAGTCTGTCCTGTGGTCAGTGATAGGGCTTCTATTCTTTGTTTTTAGGACACACTTGTGGGGAGCATGGCTCAGCCTCTAGTTGGCTATGAAATGGAGAATATGCCCACTTTCTATTTTCAAAAGGTAGAGATGATAATATGGATAAAGAGGAAGCACTCAACAGAAATAAATAAACGAAGGGGTTTCAGGAAGAAATAATAGAAAATGAGAAGAATGGAGGGAAATGGTAAAAGTCCCCCGCTTTTCATGTTTTAATGCTCCAGTACCTGTCACTGTGTGTGTTAAAAGTCTACATCAGTCCCATGGTTGCCTGTGATTGGGATTATTTTGAATGTCGGGAGGAAGCACCTGGTAATCCAGCTTCAGTTACACAGGCATACACGCAAACACACTAAACAACACTTAGGACAGAGACAGTCCTGGTGGCCAGCAGAGATTAGCTTTGGAAAAAGAGCAGAACTCTGAGGACTGAGAAAGCCTTCTGTCATTTCCCTCCCACTCTCCTAATCGTTGCATCTTTTATTGCCAAAGTCAATTCATGTGGTGTTCGTGCAAATAAATAAACTGAAATAAAATGATGCTAAGTTCATGTATCTATCGATAATGTGCAGAAAGTATGTCCCCAGTACTGCAAGGAATAATTAATAAATGGAGGTGAAGAATTTATAAAGACAAATGAGAATCACTAGACCACCAAACCCTGGTGATGTCGTGCATAGCATTGAAGATGGTGCCAGGATCGGCTTAACGCTTACATGCTGACCAACACTGCAACAAGGAAATCACAGTTAGGCCCAATTAGATCCTTTCAGTTCATTAAAAAAAAATCTTCCAGATTAAGCAATTAAGGCAATTAAAAGTGAGGCAATTAGGACCAAGTAAAAAGGGCGTTTTATCAAGGTCTCCTGTCCTTTGTTCTCTTCTGCTGAGGTGGTAGGTTGTCACCATCACAGGTGCTGTCACACCAGGGTCAGCTGGAGCCTGTGACCTGCCCTGGAGAGTGAGAATTCACCAACAGAAAGACAGCTCTAACAATGGCCATGCAGGACAGTGACTGTTTCCCAAGCAGCGCAGAAGTGTGAAGAAAAACGTTAGCCAAAGAGCAATGCTTTGATGTCTGCAACTCACTGGGATGCGTGAGTCTAGATTTTCAGGGACAAACCTACACACTCGCCCTGGGCCACCCCTTGGAAGTGTATCAGTGGTGGCCTCCACGGGTTGCAGAATCAGCTGCTCTGCAACTGTATGGAAGCCACAGCTGCTGGGTGGTCATCACCCAATCAGTTCCCAGTCTGAGGACTCAGAAACCGTGGCATGCTTTCCTTTCTTTCCTTGAGACCCTTCCATCCAAATCTCAGTGGCTCTCAGCTGCCTCCACATCACCTTCCCTGCCTGCCCTCCCAAACCTGTCTCTTCTTTCCACATGGTGGGAAAACACTCTAAAAACACTGCTTCTGTTGGCATGAATCAGAACACTACTAACAGTCACGGTCATCATCACAGCCCCTTATGCTCACATCGCAATTCAAAGGTGAATGTAGCTTCACACATGAATGTATGAACCAGGCAGAAGAACCAAGCCCACTTCTCAGGTGTGGAAACTGAGTCCAGGGAGCAGAGGAAGGGTGAGAAAAAGGCAAGATGGAACAAAAAACTGATTCTTTAGCCTGGCTCCTGATATAATCAAAGCGCAGTGATGGGGTATCTCTCAGTTCTCCCGGGATGACAGGCATGCCAACCACATCCACTGACAATGAATTTCTTGCAGACATGATTATATCTACCCTTTCACATCAGAACCTTTGCTGTTCTCTGAATTCTTGATGGTACTAGCATAGTATTCGGTGGATCTTATGTATTGGTGGATATTTACTGATCAATTGGAAAAATACAAGCTGTTTTTCAAAAGGAAACCAACAACCTGCATGAGGAAAGATAAGGACAGAGCCTGGGACTGTGGGACGCTGGGTGTGCTGGATGGGAGTGCATGTGCAGAGAAACGTCTGAGTGCATGTGTGCACACTCTGACAGCAGTGCGTTTAACTCTGCAGTTTCCGGGACACAGAAAGCAACTTCCTGGATTGTGATGTTGATTGCTCGCTGACCGCCACAAAATCTGCAGGAATTGTTGGGTAGAAAACCAGAACCACAGCTGAAAGCCACTTTTTGCATACCATAGTACCGTCTGTCAAGGGCTGTGATTGTAGACTGGGACCTAAATAAGTTCTTAATTCAACTTAAATGAGGGCCCCACATTTCAAGCACAGAATCCCAACAACGGGGTATGTGCCCATGGGCAACGTTCACTTTCGACAGTTTGTGGCTTTGTCTTCGGGAGCCATGCCAAGGACTGGGTGGTGCTGCTGGTTCTCTGAGCTTACAGCCACTTCTCTTGCAAAGCTGTTACAGAGGGGTGGCCTGGAGAAATGTTCATGGAACCATGTTCCAGCTAACTACGGCCTGT